GATCATGATCAGATCGAAATAGAAAATATTTTAATTAAATTTTGATATAAAAGATTTGGGTGGTATAAATCATAAATATAAAAAATAAATTTAGATGCTGATATCTAAATAAATAGATTGGAAGATATGTATAAAAATGCCCCCTAATAAAATTAAAGAAAAACTCAATTTTTTTCTCCAAAAAAAAAAAAAAAAAGAATCCGTACCAGAATCCACCGCCCCTGCTCAGGCCGAGGAACTCCGGCGTATGTGTGGTGAGCAGACTTCGCCGGCGATCAGTATAAGCAAGTAAGAATCCCTCAGCAGATAGCATGTTTTCAGCTTCTTCCGACGTCAACCTCGCCGCGAAGCCGCTTATCGCCTCGCGGTAGGAATATATAAGCCTCGCCTCGCCGGAGTCCAGAGTGGTGTTAGGTAGGAAGGAGAGGTGATAGCTCGTCAGCCACTCGTCATCGAATAAAAGACTGGTGTTTTCCGGCCTCTCAACGTGTACAATGTAGGTGACATGGCTTTGGCCGTCGCCGGCGATCGCCGGAAGGAGGTCAGCTTGTGTTGAGAGTGGAAGGTGTGTTGTGAGGATGAGAAGGGGTAATAATAGTGTAGCAATGGAGGAGAAGGATGAAGCCATTAGGATGTTGTGGAGAAAAGAGGAAAGGGGATGTGAGAGTTTGGTGATGAGAAAGGTGGGATTTTTTGGGCTTTGGATGCATTTTTTTCAATCATTTAATAATATTATTGGAAGAGGGTATCTTTTTATCCTTTGGGAAGTTTGCATGCATGCCACATAACTTTTATGTATGTACATAGCTAAGACCTAAAATTTGATATTTTTATTTATAGCACATTAGTGTCATGAATTGAAAAGAAACCTTACACTTTATGAAGCTAGTTAGTCTTATATTCTATGTAATATTGAATAATTGTGTCATGCATGTAAAAAGGAATATGCATGCAAAAAATGAAAATTTAGCTATGGAATATGTAAATAAATTAGAGTTAGCTATGTGGTATATTTTATTTTGGGGCATTTACATACATGCCGCCCAATTCTTTATATCTAACACCTAAACTTTGATTTTTATATTTTTTCACCAAAATCATTTTATCACATAAAAATATGAAACTTTTTGAAATACACCTTTTCACGCATAGGTAATTAAGTTGGCATACATGTAAAAGTTGAAGTTTAAACCATTGTTGAATCCAAAGTTTTTATGTGATGCATGCCCAAGAATCAGAGTGGTGAGGACCTTAAGGGAAAAAAA